ACATATTTTTCAAAAATCAAAAAACAATTTTTCAGTTTCAACATTTGCTATGTTGTCTAAGACCAACAACGTCTGATCACCTCAGGGTTGCCAGCTCTCACACAGCCGGCGTAACACTTTTGCTTTCAGACTCTGACGCTCACGCAAGAAATTGTTATAGCAAATCTATATTATTCCATTACAAACCTAAAATTAGCTACATCAAAAACTCTGGGGTAGTTTGCAAACCCTACAGACTTTTTACAAGATAATAAAACTATTACTTACATGATTGTCTCAATCTGACAATCTCACTCCAGCCAGCTGAACAATGGTGGCAGCCCTGTGACGACTCCCTGTTATCCTTCGACAAATGAGAAAAACCTGCTTGTCCCTCAAATATCAAACTTTTTCAATTGTCACTGCTGCCTTTTAAGCTGGTTTCCAAGCTTATGGAAAGTACCTCTTCCTATGTACTCTAGCAAAGGGACCCAGTCGTCATACAAGAATTGTACGGCCAAGCACTCACAGGAACAGGAAATGCAGGCGGTTATTGGGTGGGGGCCACACGGCCGGATATAGGCGGTGCAGGGTCGGGCTACTCCCCCCAGTCCACCACATACGCATGATTAAAACATAACATTTGTTTTCACTTAAAACTTCTGGTATCCAATCGTTTAATTCCACTCTTGATTTTTCTAAGAAGACACTCCTGGCCTGACTCTTGTGCAGGAAAAGCAAAAAAATAAATTGTTGGACTGTTTAAATCATGCATGTCTGCAAAGGAGAGGCTGGCTCATGTCCAGGAGAACTTGGAATTCCACAGAAGAAGCTACTCCAGCAGGTAGAGACACGCTGGAACAGAACTTATTTAATGTGTTAGTGTCTCTGTCAGCAGAGAGAGTGGAGCTGCTGTGACAAATCTGAGGACAGACATCGCTCCTCTGTCAAGTGATGGACTTGAGGTGATCAGTCAGTCTCCCCAAGTGCTGTCTGTTTTTTTGAAGTCACACAAGAACTGTCAGCAGAGACGACTGTAACCTACACTAAGGTGTGTTTGTACTGCTGCTGTTACTTTGCTACATTTCTGAGCTAAATAACTTTTTACTCCAATACATTCTGCACGACCATAGTTACTCACCTAATATAAAAAAGTACTATCCTGTACCGCTGCATAGCACTGTTGGATTCTGGGTAAAATATTGTGGCACCGTGGCTCCTTCTGTAACCCAGTTTCCAAAAAAGTTGGCACGCTGAGTAAAAATCTAAAACAGAATGCAATGATTTTATCCATTTATTTTAAATGAAAATAGTACAAAGACAGCATAACAAACTGAGAAATTGTATTGTTCTTCAAAATATAAATGCTCATTGTCACATCAAAGGCAAGGATGGAGGCAAAGGTAGGCGTGGGGAAAAC